CCGACCTACTGCAGATGGTATCTCTGTTGACATCTTGTGCCAGGACTCCAGAGAATTCTGCAGGGCGTCCCCCTCTCTCCATGAGACTCCTCCTTTCTCTGCGGCTCTGATGGGTTGGGGGCAGCTGTCTCTAAGGCCAAGCAAGTGGCAGTTCTGGAGTCCCAGACCCATGCCCCAGCATGGCCCGGGCTCTTGCGGAAATTCTAAGCAGTCCGGCTCTTCGGGGTAGTCGGCTCCAATCACATATTGTTCCCTGGGGGTCATTCCCTCCCTGTGAAGAGGCGTGTTTGCAGCAAACCCTACACTCCAAGGACAGCCTGGCAGTTCAGGCCCCTGGTTAAGATGCCTGTCGCCAATCTGTCCTGTTGAACTAACACTGAGCCTCGCTGTTTGTGCTGGGCATGGGAGGGTGCTTCAGAGTCACTGAGAGTAGAAAGATAGCATCCGTGCCCCACAGGAGTTTCTAATTCACCAGGAGGCAGACTAGACCAGCTTTGGAGGCTGTCAGAACCCAGCCCGATGCCTGGCTCTGCCGCTCACTGGCTGACCTCTCAGGCTGTGTCACCTTGAGCTAGTCCCTTAACCTCTCGGAGTTGGAATTTTCTTATGTGCAAAACGGGGAGCATCACGAACTGGCCTCTCTGGGTTCTTGTGAGAACCGAGTAAGTGCTGGTGCAGTGCCTGGCACGTAGTGAGCACTCAGTGAGGAGCACTCGGTGAGGAGCACTCCCTGAGCCATGGCAGTGATGCTGGGGAGGCATGGTGCTGAGGAATATCTCGACAGAACTGGGTAGTGTCTGGAGGTGAGCAGGCGACGGTGCTGGCCAGAGAAGGACCAGAGCCTGGAGGGGCCAGAGCCCAGGCCAAGGAGCAGTGGGATGAGAAGTTGGCAGGAAAGCATCAGGGATTTTGAGTGACACCTGTGCAGAGCTGGCCACCCACTGGTTCTGGGAGGGCAAGGCCTGGTCCCGGTGGGGACGGGAACACCTTAGCGTTTATGTTCACATCACTATTGGGGGATTTAACTCCACTTGGCTTCTTCGGTTTGTAATTACGTTTGGAGTCCAGCTTCCAGATCTACAGCCACTAATGTGACGGTTTGGTTGCACGTTACTTATGGCATACGGTTTAAAGACGGTGGCGAATGAGCATGGAGCAGGAACGGGAGTAGGAAGATCCCTGGCTGCCTTTCGTGTGCCGGGCGCCCACAGGAACCCTGTGATTCGGTGGGCCGAGCCCCATTTCACAGATTGGGACATGGATCCGAGGTGCAGACAGCTTCAGGAATTTGCCCCGGGATGGTGAGCTGCAGAGCGTGGGCCAGGGGCTCAAACCTAAATGCTGACCCCATCCTCCCCTCTGCCCTGCTGCTCTCCGGAGGAGCATGATAAACACAGGGGCTGGCGTTCTTCCTCAGGTCCCTCTGACTTGCAGCTGGGGCTCTCAGCTCGTCCCCAGGTCCATGCCTCCACCTTGACCAGAAACCCGTGAGCTGCGGCCAGTCAGCCCACCTCCAGCAGGCCACCCGTCGGCCACAGGTGCTGGCTCCAAACACGTCCCTGGTCACCTTGCTCCAGCTGCAGGGTCGGCAGGGCTGTGTGAGCAGGGAAGCCTCTCGGGATAGCAGTCCGCTGTTTGTTTGGAGAGTCTTGAGAATGTCTTCCCTTTGATCCAGCTCCTCTCCTTCGGCTGCCTAAGCAAATGCTCAGGACTTTCGGAAAGACGGTGTATGAATAGAGATGTTCAACCCAGAGCTGTTCATCCCTTGAGAATAAAATATAGGGAGTGACCAAGGGGCCAAGAGACAGGGAATAGGTTGGAAAAGATGCCCCTTCTACTCGACAGTGTGACGCCATGCGCCCTGCTTGGTGGCATAACCAGGGGGGTATGGGGTTGAGGGAGATAAAGATGGTGAATGAAAGAGACTCGTCACGTGTCAGGGATGCTTGGTACAATGAGGACAGTGATGCCCGGGTCTGTTCCCCACACCTCGGCCTCGTCACCGTCCGGCCCGGCCGTGGTCCCTGGGGGGCTCTCCATCGCGCATCTGATGGGGCCGTGTGGGAACGTCCCTGTGGCTCCCAGGGGGCTGCATGCCGATCCCACCCGGCCCCGGCCCCCAGACGGCTCTGTTTTGCACGAGTTCCAGCTCTGTGGCTGCTTGGAGCATTCCAGGGACATTCCAAAACTTCTGGACTGAGGAAAGAACCTAACGTGTTATTGTCCTGCTGAGAGCAAAGTTCAAAGTGCTCAGGTTCCCCAGCGAGAATCATTTCCAAATGTTTCCACGGCTCAGGGCACAAAGTGCTCACCCCACTGAGCTGGTCGTGGGAGTCCGAGCTTCCCTCGTGCTTGCCTTTCTCAGGGGCGAAGGGAGGCTTTGGGGCTGCTGCTCATCCCCGGGGGGCTTCCGCACACCAACCCGGGGCCATGGTTCCCCGTTTCTCATGGGCCACGCACAGCAAGCAAATCTCCTTTGTTCCTTTAACACCTCATCAAGCGCCGTTTACTGAGGGCTCCCTGTGTTGCTCAGAACTTTAGAAGCTATATCCATCTGCTCAGCAACTCTGCGAAGGTACTTCGAGCCCCGTTTTACTGTCGAGGAAGCTGTGGCTCAGAGAGGTGAAGCAGCCTGCCCAGGGTCACAGAGCAAGAAAGAGCTGGAGCCGGGACTGGAGCTGTGAGCCCAGAACTCAGGCTCTCATCAGCTCTGTAGCTGCCTTGCGCAGAGGCGCGTAAGGACAAGAGATGGGCCCAGCTCACGAGATACCTGTGGGTGGGAGGGTGAGGCCGTCAGAATATTAGGAAGCAGGGAGCTGCGCTCCACGTGCAGGCTGTGGTGTGTGAGCAGAGGGGGCCCCCGGGCCAGGCAGGCTGCAGGAGTGGGGGGCCCAGGTGGGGGGGCGGGCAGGCCGCCACTGGAGACCTGAGAGGCTGTGAGAAGCCCGAGGGCTGAGACCGCAGGCAGGAGGGCTGGGCAGGCGCAGCTGGAGCCGGGGCGGATGGGGAGCTGGGCTTGGCGGCGTGGGGGAGATCAGCCTCCCGGCTGGGTCACGCTCATCTTGGGGTGAACCGCAGGCCATGTTTTATCTCCAAGAGATAAGGTCCTCTGTTTCATGAATGCTTTTCCTAACTTCAGGGTAAGAATGAAGGAATGAGCGAGTGGGTACGTGAATGGGAACGTTCGACGTTGTCCTATACTCTGTGGCTTCCCCTCGGGACAGTGCTCCTGCTTTTGTGCTGGGAGGCCCGTGACGCCAGGCAGGTTTATCTGAGCCCTGGCCCCACGGTGAATCTCCCGTGTTCACCAGATGACATTGTCAGGGAATGAGGAGGGGTGACAGCTGAGCTGGGGAGGGGCCGAGTGGCCAGGTGGCAGCAGACTGGGTGTCTGTCACTCTTCGCCCCGTGAGGGTGAGAACAGGTCAGGGCACATCTCTCACTGGGGGGAGCAGCTCAGAGATCCCCGGGAGCCCCAGGGAAGGGGTGGTGCTGACTTGGCTCCAGGTGACACCCCTCTTCCTCCTGGCCACGTGGAAAGGCCGGCCAAGCACGAACTGTCCCAGCGTCTTTCTGGAAGCAGTTACTCTTGGTGAGCAGTGGTAGTTTCTGCCCACTGGGCGTTCAAGGGCAGCATGTCCCACACCCCGTCTGACTGCAGAGGTGCTTGTGACAGTTGATGGCAGGTTGTCAGGGCTGGTGTTTCAGGAAGTCGTGGCCTCGTGCTAAGCCCAAGAGTGAACCTCCCTTCTGGGGCCACCTCGAGGGCCCAGCCTTGGAAGAATAATGAGCCCAGACAAAACACCCATGGCCGATGGTGCCAAGAAATTCTGCCGAGCCCATCAGGATTTACCCCATTGGGTGCCGGAAAGCCATCAGTAAGAAAACGTGGTGTTTCTTAAAGCCCAGTCTTGCAACGTCCTGCCACAGTGTGGCCTTCCACCCAGACTGTGGAGGTCGTCAGGGCTAATGCTCTGGCCACGTGAGTCCCCTGTGCTGGGGGCACCTCCATACCCAGCTGCTCCTTCCTTGGGGCACACTGGGGCCCTCTCCTTCCCCCCAGGCATGGGGCTCATGCGGGCAGCAGTTTGGGTTGAGGCTGAGAGCCAGGCTGGGGACTGGAGGGCCATTGTCCAGCTGTGAGGGCGTGTGCAGCTGGCTGCTTGACCCACGTGAGCCCTTCTGCTGTCCTCTTTGTGGGCGAGGACGCGGTCTTGCGCAGATCGAGGGCAGGAACTGTTGGCCGCTATATGATGAGGACTGACGCCTCGCTAACAAGGAGCTTGGAGAAATTACAGCAGAGAACACAGCTGTAGCTCCCAGAAGCTGGTCTAGAAACGTGGGCTCTTGTCACCGAGGGGGCTTGTGGCGGTGTGGCCTCCGTTTCCATTCTGTCCCCCGAGTCTCGCTTCTGCTGCACCTCCTCCCTGGTGCACGCTCCCAGCTAGCCCGACGGATCTCTCCTCGGGGGGAGCCTTCTTGGATTGTCCCAGTGTCTGGTGTCAGCCCTGCTGGGAACCTCCGGGTTGCCCCTATTTCTGACCCTCTTGAGAGTCAGGTTGGTGGTGCCTGAACCCCCTCGCCGTTGGGCTGGATGGCAGCTGGCTCACGCCTTGTTCCTGCCGTAGCTGCCCTCCCGACCTGTCTGGGCAGGGTCCCCGTCTGAGTTTCTGGCACGTGGCTGGAGCAGGGAATCAGCCTGGGTGAGCATGGATCCCGGGGGCTGAGCTGCAGCCCCATAAGAACTGGATTCGGAAGGTAGTAGTTCAGACATCAGGCCTTTCTAGAAAGGAGTGGGTGTGCGTTCCAGCCCAGGACCCAGTGGGTTTTCCATTCACATTTGTGGAGTGACTCACGGATGTGTGCAGGCCCGTTCAGACCGGCCTGACTTGTAGTGGGGGCCCGAGGAACTGGGAGGGGGGCTGCATGTCAGAGGGCACCTCCCGTGGGCCAGGGGGGAGTCGCTCCTTGACCAGGCACCCTGCTCTCTCCCTGCACAGTGGCCGCGGACACCCTCATGGAGGCTTGCTGTGCGGACGGACATAGCATGGCCACACAGCACAGGGACTGCTCGCTGCCTTATGCCTCGGAATCCAAGGAATGCAGGTACATGTGCCAATGGCCACTGTTCTACCAGAATGGTGTTCCTTTAGCAGAACACCGGGGAAGAAGGAACAGCATGAGCCAGGACCCCTGGCAGAGCCCGGCGCACAGGCCCACGTCCACCCAGGCCGCGGGAGGCGTGGTGGCTCACCCCTGCCTCCTCCTTCTGCGCTCCCACGTCCCCGTACGGGACTGAGCTCACCCTTCCCGGGCCGCCCTGGGATGCCCGGGGCATCTCTCCCCTTCCCCGGGCTGCAGAGCAGGGAGACCCGGGTTTGCTGTTCTCTCTGCCGCTGCTGGGCACTGTGGCCACGTCAGGCTCCTCCTGACAAGAAGGGGTCTGTTGTGGGGTTGGATACGATCACGTGACCGGTGAGGCGAAGTGTGGACTGCCTTCAGACCCCGAGAACGCAGACAGGCCAGTCTGGAGCAGAGCTCCCCCAGATGGCTGTTCCCCCTTATGCAGTAGCCGACACCTGGATCTGCTGTTCTTCTCTTAAATCAACCCCAGGTCCTTCAAAGTTTTGGGAGGATACACGCTTAGAGAAAATGATGAAGATCTGTAATGTTGATCGTCACTGTAAAAGTAATAGTAAAAACAGTAGCAAGTCTGTGGGAAACACGTCCTCTGTGCCGTGCACTGTGGCACGTGACTCCATTTTACTGTTATTAATCCCGGTTCACAGATGAGGAACCTGAGCTTTCCCCCGTGCACACAGCTGGTAGGGGACGGCGTTCGGATGTGAACCCAGATCAGCTTGCCTAAGAGAGCAAATGTCGCGGAGGCAGCATTCCCTCCCTTAGCGGCCCCTGGTCTGCTCTGCCCGGCTTAGTCCGGGTCTAAGCCGAGCCACACTCGGGCTGCGGGCAGCTGGGCGGAGAGCGGCCACGGAAAGAATGTGCAGGGAAGGCTTGCTCGCCTCGTTCTGGACTTCTGCATTTATGTTGGCAGCAAGCATCGCGTGCAGTCTGCCAACGCGGCTGGGCGATGTAAATCTCGATTTAGGAAATTCTTGAAAAGTCAAGAGCATTATAGACCCAACAAAGGAAAAGAAAACAGGACCTTGGCTGTTGGAATTGACTGGGAGGCCCCGCAGTCAGGATTTGCGGGGCGTCTGAGGAGTGAGAGCCAAGAGTTTGGCTCCCGAGCGTGGCGGCTCAGGGCTAGAAACGTCAGAGGGGCCGGAGCCAAGCTGGGTGGTCAGCACCGAATGTTCTGTTTGCAGACTGTGTCCACGACAAGTAGCCTGGCCGGGAGAAGCTGGATGGACCGGGGCTGGATTTCTGGCTGTGTGACCTGAGCCAGCTCAGAGCCTCAGTTTCCCCAAGTGGAAAAGGAGGATTATGATGACATCCCTTCAGGGTTGAGAAAAATGACAGAGGGGAGGGAAAAAGCCAGCACCACAGAGCCAGACAGTGTGAATGTCAGAGTCTGCCCAGGCTGCCATCACAAACACCACAGACCGGGGCTTGAAGAACAGAGGTTTATGGTCTCCCGGCTCCGGAGGCCAGAAGTCCAGCATCACGGTGTGGGCTGGGCTGGCTCCTCCCGAGGCCCCTGTCCTGGGCGTGCAGACGGCTGTCCTCAACCCGTGTCCTCACATGGTCGTCCCTCTGTGCGTCTTACCCTGACCCCCTCTTCTTATAAAGACCCCAGTTGTAATGGATTAGGGCCCACCCCAATGACTATTTAACTTTAGTTACTTCTTTAAAGACCCTCTCTCCAAATATAGTCACATTTGAGGTACGAGGGGTGAGGATGTCAACATAGAATTTTGCGGGGGGGAGACACAGCTCAACCCGTAACAGGGAGCCACTATGATCAATCCTTCTTGAAATCAAAGACTTTCAAAGTGAGGCATCAGCCAGCCAAACCTCTCAACGTGCAGATGGAGGGGCTCGGGTCAGAGAGACCTGGAGGCCGCTGGGCCCTACTTTTGAATTTGGATTTCAGTCATTACTAAATTTGTTAGTGACTTCTACCCATCAAAGTCTCTAAGTTCCGGAGTTATCTGTAATCCCCAGTTGGGCCCCAGATTACGTAGAAAATACACCTTCTTAGCATACAAAAGGCTTTTGTTTATGACCTGCATTTTGGTCAAGGGTAAATCTCGAACAGGCCTCAAGAGATATCCTGAAACGTCAGGAATATCATCTGAACGGCTGAGCAGGAATTTCTTCTCTCTGTGGGAAATGTGGCTGCAAGTCCGGGCTCCCCCTGACCCCCCCCACATATTGCTGGTGGAGCTCACTTCATCGCAGGGGCCTGCGGAAATTCTGGTTGGGGGGTGCACATTTCCACATTACAGTGTCCTCAAAACATGTCATTGGACTCCCAGGACACCACCTACGGGCCACTGATTGGCAGTGACCAAACTTCTGTTTCACGGAGGCCCCAGGAGGCTAGTTGGCTCGTCCTGGGGAACTCACGGGCCGGGCTGCGTGTGTGTCCAGGGCCTCTTGGTGAATAGTCAGCCATCGAGCTCACTGGCTCTAACTGTGTCACGGTCTGCCACCCCCTCCAGACCTCCCCTGCATATTTTCCCCTTTGCTCAGTTAACATTGGGGTTTGAACCCCACCTCGTCTGCAGAGATCAGAGGCCAAGCCTGGACTGTTGGCTCAAAGAGAGGTGTCACTAAAGGTGGGAGGTGAGCCTCCTGGGCAGACCTGGGTGCGGTCAGCTCTCCTGGGCGGGGAGGGGGCAACCCCAGAGGACCGCCGGAGGAGCCGAGCCCTCTCTGCACACATGTGCAGCCAAGTGCATTCAGCTTCTGCCAGAGCCTCTAAACGAGACACATTTGGGGGCAGTCAGGGGACAGCAGCTCTGATGCTTCCCCCAGGCGCATATTACCTCACACCCCAGCCCGAACCAAGGACCAACGTTCCTTATTATCTAAATTTACTAAAACCTTGGACTGAATCAAGGCCACGGACCGCTCAGAGGAGTTTGCATACGCACTGAACCCAAACCTAAGGCTGACGTTTTTCATCACACCTGTCACACTCGGACACTTCCATCTCTTAATCTCACAAACATCCCCGAGGGCCTGCGAGGTGCCAGGCACCGTTCTCGATGAGATGGGGATAAATCAGTGAACAAAACAGACAAAATCTCTTCTGTAAAGGATACAGATGATCAAACAGTAAGTTAACTATATGGTTTGTGAGAAGGTGCTCTGTGTCATGGGAAAGGAAAGGTCCATCCATGTCCATAGCAGGTGCAGGATCTCCTTCCTTCCTTGTTGAGGCTGAATCATGGTGCCACAGTACGGATGGACCGCATTCTGCTTAGCCATTCCTCAGTGGACATGGGGTTGCTTCCATCTTTTGGCCGCTGTGAATGATGCTGCCCAGAACGTGTTGTGTGCAATTATCTTCTTGAGTCCCTGCCTTCAGTTCCTTTGGGTGTATACCCATGAGTGGGATCTCTGGATCGTACGGTAGTTGTATATTTCATTTTTCGAGGAGCTACCCCACGGCTGCTGCAGCATTTGCGAGTCCACCAGCAGTGCCTAAACCTTCCAGTTGTCCTCCTCACCAACACTGTCTTCCGCGCAGCCAACATCCTCAAATGCATGGACAGATGGATGCCTATCCGGTTGCTGTTCTTGACAATCTAGTGGAATCCCTATTGTTTGTAAATTCACCGAAGGTGTGAGTGGAATGTGTAGTATCACAAGCATAGAAAAATCCTTCCAGATGGTTCAGGAAGCACATGGGAAGCCAGGTGCAGAGAGCTCCGGCCCCGTGGGGTGGAGGATGGGCTGGGGGGAAGGACGGGCTGGGGGCTGCTGCTCCGCGGGCAGAGGAGGCCCGGCAGGCCCCGTTCTCTCTGGACTGGCGCAGGTCGGGCGGCTCCTCCGGCCCTTGCTGGGGTTGGCTGAAGCCACGGTTATTTGGGGGGAAGCCATACCTGTGACTCACACACAGCCCCCGCTTGCTCACCCACCTCAGGCCAGCCCTTCCCGCTCTGAGCTGAGGCACCACTTCTGGCTGCCACTGGCCCTTCTGCCAACACAGGCCTTTACGCTCGGGTGTCCTCTGGTTTCCAAGGACCTTCTTCCTGGAGCCCCCAGCAGGGCCAGGAGATGGGACGCCCCAGCCCGGTGTTCCCGTTGCCACCGTCCCACGCCCTGTGGCCGTGGGCAAGCTCCTCCACCTCTCTGGAGCGATTTCCTCTGAGTCTGGAAGAGAGAGATGAGCAGTGAAGGATGAGGGTGCCTGGTCCAGAGTCAGTAGTCAGCCGGCCTGGTTTTTCAACGCGGCAGGAACGTTCTGTAGGACGACACTCAGAGCTCAGAGAGCTGAATCGGGCTCGGGCGGCACAACGGGCTCTCCTGATCCCCCCCTCCCCGACACTGCTCTGCTTTCAGGCTCTCCTGAAAGGGTATATACTTCTGGAGCCCCTTCCTTCTGCCAGCTACGGTGTGCATGCGAGTGTGCATGCGGGTGTGCGGGGGGGGGTGAGTGTGCGTGCGAGTGCAAGCGAGTGTGTGGGTAAGTGTGCGAGTGAGCGTGGGTACGAGTGTGCGTGCGTGTGTGCGCACGTGTGAGTGAGTGAGAGTGGGAGTAGGTTGAGAAGGGGAGGCACCCAACAAGGACAGAGCTCCCCTCCCTGAGGGGCTACCGCTCCCAGGCCCCATGGACCCCCAGGCGGGACCCCTGCCCTCCCAGGGCCCTGCCCTCAGCCCGGCCGCCCCCGCGCCCACAGGATGGTCCGGGAGCAGTGCTGTCACAGCCAGCTGGAGGAGCTACACTGCGCCACGGGCATCAACCTGGCCAACGAGCAGGACAGCTGCGCCACGCCACACGGTGACAACACCAGCCTCGAGGCTACGTTTGTGAAGGTGAGGACCGTCCTCCTGCCCGCAGCCGCAGGTGCCCCCGTCCCCCGCGGGAGGCCTGGGTGCTCTCCTGCCTGCAGCACCTGCCCAGGCCTGTCCTTCTGAGCAGTGGGAGGCGGGGTGGCTCGGGCCCCCCGCCCCCTGCAGTCTAGTCAGTAAGCCCTGGACCACCTGGAGGAGACAGGGACTAAGGGACCCAGGCTGGCCCTGCGGACACCCAGTCCCCGGGCTTCCAGCCGGAATGCAGAGATCAGAGCAGAGGTTGCCTGAGCTCCGGGGCCGTCAGAACCCTCTTCACAGTTCAAGGCAGGCCCTCCCACCCGCGTCTGCCAGGAGCAGAAGGCCCTGAAGCTTTCCTGCCCAGCAGGGTGAGGTGGAGCCTGGACCTCAGAAGGGGCCCCCACCGGGGTCTCTGAGAACACACGACCTCCCAAACTGCCCTAGAAGAGAAGAGGGAGGTTCAGAGAGGCCCCCCACTCCAAAGTGGCCTGGCTAGGGGTACTTTCAAGACCAGCAGGGGAGGGGTCTGGCGAGGCAGCCCTAGGTCCATCGGGCCTGGGGGGAGGTGAGTGCTGAGCGGGTGACATCATCCATTGTGGGTCTGCACCGGGTCCCTCTGGGGCCTCTGTCCCTGTGGAAGGTTTGCGTTTTCCTGTGGGGGTGGAGGAATTCCTGACCACTTTCTGGGCCTGAAAACTGCAAATTAACTAGGTTGTCCCTCCCTCACCACCCACTGCGAGAGAAAAACAAGCCCGACCAGAAGGAGCTCTGGACAGTTAACCTGGGCAGCTGGGTTCCCGTTGGAGCTGCGTTTCCAGGGAGAAAGATTTCCCGTTCCCGGTTAGGAGGGCCAGGAAGCGATTTCAAGGAGCATGAATTGGAATGGAGTCTGAATTCTGGGAGGGAGGTGTGGGGGAGTCCAAAGCCCCTCCTCCGCCCACCTGCAGCCTTTGTGGGCCTTCATGGGAGGAGGCTTCTGGCGTGAGGGAGCTGGGTGGGGCGGGAGTAGGGAGGTCTGGTCAAGGGGGCCCCCGGAGCCAGGAGCCTGGGCGTCCAGCAGCCGCCTCCCCAGGCAGGGCTGGGGCCCTGCAGACGCCATCTGCCCAGCAGACAGCTCTGCCCTTGTCCCCAGACTAGAGAGAAAGGGAGGTGTGGAAAAGGCATGGAACAGTCTAACGGGGGTGGGAACAGGCCACTTTGGCAGATGGGTGATTTGTGTTTCCGGGAAGGCTTACTCATGCCCTGGAAGGCAGAGGAGGTAACATGTGCCCTGTTCTTTCTGGCGTGGAGGTTGTAGAACCAGCGGGATGGAAGACCCATCAATCCCGACGGAAACTCAAGCAAAGCCACACCTCCTGGCTCCTGCTGGGGGCCTTTTGGAAGGTTCTGTGCCTTTCTTAGGATAGTAAGGACTGAAATGGGGCTCTTCGTATATCAGGCTGAATGCCGTCCCCGGGATTCAGGTGTCACTTTCAGGAACACCAGGGTCCAGGTGACAGGCAGTGATTCTGTCCCTCGCTTGATGACTTGTCTGGAGGTTCTCGTGCTTTTCAAATGCACGATGTGCTTCCTGCTGCCGAAATCACCCGCATTCAGGAGGGAAGAGACGAGTGCATATTCATTTTTCCGGGCATGGTAGAGAAATCTTAGACCACACACCAGGAGGGGACCTTCGGGGAGCTCTTGTGTGACCCTCAGAGGGCCCCTGTTATAGCTAATTCCTCCTGGAGGTATGTGAGTGGGGCGGGGCAGGGATGTTGGGGGGGACAGTCTGGTGTGGTGGGGTAGGTGTTGGGTGCAAGCCCCTTTAAGTTTCCTTTAAAAACCCGGGACCTGTGAGATTCGGGAGGCAGAACGCCTCGGGCTCGGCTTGCTGAGCTGCTTACTGCCAGAGTTTAGAAGAGATGGCTAAGTCCCACAGTGTCATTGCTGTGCAGGCTGAGTGGATACGGGGACCAGAGAGACCTGGGGGCCTCTGCCGTGTTGGGCAGCTTCTCCATCCCGAGTCTCTGCCTGTGTTTGCAGAGATGCTGCCACTGTTGCCTGTTGGGGAGGGCAGCCCAGGCCCAGGGCCAGAGCTGCGAGTACACCCTCATGGTCGGCTACCAGTGTGGGCTGGTGTTCCGGGCGTGCTGCGTCAAGGGCCAGGAGACCACTGACTTCGCCCCCGGGGACATTGGGGACATCCAAGAAGCAGGTAATTTCCCCCCCTTTTTTCCCTTTTGGTCAGTGCATTAGTCAGTGTTATCCAAAGAGACAAATCCAATAGGGGTGTGTGTGTGTGTGTGTGTGTGTGTGTGTACAGAGAAAGAGATTTAAGGAATTGGCTCACTCAGTTGTGGGGGCTGGCAAGTGTGAAGTCTGCAGGTTTGGCCAGCAGGCCAGAGACCCAAGAGAGAGCCGATGTTGCAGCTCAAGTCCAAAAGCCATCTACTAGCAGAATTCCTTCTTCCTTGGAGGAGGTCGATGTTTCTCTGAAGGCCTTCGCCTGACTAGACGAGGCCCACCCGCATTATGGAGGGCAATCAGCTTTACTCAAAGTCTGTTGATTTAAATGTTAATCTCATCTAAAATAAAGTCATAGATGCCTGGGTGGCTTAGTTGGTTGGGCCTCTGCCTTCAGCTCAGGTCACGCGATCCTGGAGTCCCAGGATCAAGTCCCACATCAGGCTCCCTACTCAGCATGGAGTCTGCTTCTCCCTCTGACGCTCACCACTCTCGTGCTCTCTCTCTCTCTCTCTCAAACAAATCAATAAAATCTTTAAAAAAATAAAATAAAATGCAGTCACAGCAAATACAGACTGGTGTTTGACCATATCTCTGGGTACTGTGACCCAAGCAAGTTAACACATAAAATTAACAATCACAGGGAGTGGGGGCACACCTGTTTGCTGTGGCCTTAACTCAGCACAGACTGATTCTAGGTGTCAGAGCAGTTTCGTGTTCATTACCTCATCTGAGAGAGCCACTGCCCTAGAGTGGGACCAAAGACTTGGGATCCAGGATCTGACAAATCCGGGTTCATGTTTCTGTCCTAACATGTATTTTAAGTAAACTGATGTATCCAGACCTCAGTCCCCTCATCTGTGAAATGGGGATAATTATAATCCTGCTTCATAACGTTTCTGGGAGGGTTATTTGGGAAAATGAGTATAGAGTGTTTGGGGTGACTCCATAAATGTTCGTCATCAAGATTCTTCCCTGTGCCTCCGACAGCCCTGGGCTGGTCAGCATGGTGGCTGGCCCTGCTCTCATTTCACGGACGGAGGGCCTGATGCTCAAGGTCAGATGACCAACACACAGGGGAGGGAGAATTTTGGCCTTCCGCCCCTTGGCCCGTGCCCTTTCTCTCTCCATCTGGTGCCAATGACATGTCGACAAGAGGCGGGCAGGTTACCACTCATTACTAGCTGGCTAGGCTCATTTAACTAATAGATATTTATTCAGCAAAGGGGTGAGTGACCCCAAGGACAGTTTCAAGGGAGCTTTGGAGGGTTAAGGGCAGGAAGGCCTTAGGAAGGAGGAGCTCACAGACCTGTGCTCCTTAGGTCAGGCTGCCCATCATTCTGGCTTCATGACCCCGGTGGCTTTGTGGTCCTGGGTCAAACAGACCAGTCTCTCTGTTTTTAATTTCTCATGGATGCCGTGGGGCTGATGTCAGATACCTCAGTCATAAAGGTCTGGAACCACATTCTGGCTCCCTCCTTGACTTTTGAAACCAGAGATAACATTTTCACTTTGAACAAACCCAAACTATTTGTCCTGGTGGAGAATTTCTCCTGTGTCTCTGGGGAGGATTTTTGTTGATTTATGTCTTGTTTCCATAACAATGTCTGAGCTTTGCTGCCGCTCCAGATGTCTTATTTCTCTTCTGTCTTTTATCTGCTTCAATTCTTGCCCCTGACTTTTCCCCCAAAGTCTATGTGAGGACCCCCTGCCCTTCCTCCTCACAGATAAAGGCGCGCCTTCCTTTCTTCCCAAGGGTGTTTATCGCAGGCCTACTGTGTGCTGCCACAGGGCCACACAGAGAGTCCACAGACCACTGCTGGCTCTAATAAACTAAGTACACGAATTGAGAGTAAGCTTTTAGAAACTTTTATAAGCCTTTGATAGCATGACTTATGTCTGTTTCATCTAAATGGGGGCCTATTTGTTCTCATAACTTAATTTTTCTGGTAATTACTTTATATTACATGTTATCAAGGTATTGGCCTATGATGGGGGAGAGAGCCCTGTCCCTTTACCGCAGAGAGTTTGGGAGGAACCGTGTGCTGGGACGTATATTGGCTATATCCCCATTCTACAGATTGGGAGGTGGAGGCTGAAGAAGCCCAGGTTTGGGATTCGCTTTTTGGCAGAAATGGTGGTGGTGTCTCTGTGCCAGGCTCGCTGGCTCCCACAGAACACCATGCCAGCCTCGATGGCCTCCTTGCCCGGGCAGGAGGTAGCTCCTCACGGGTTCTCCTGGCCAACACCCCGGCCTGTGCCTCGGCCTCGACTACATGCCCGAAGTGAGCCAAGAGTCTCCAAGGTGAATGACCATAGCAAAGGCGCTCCCAGGCCCCTAAACTAGAAGAGATGATTCACACTCTAAAGGTCTTTTGGCTTAGTTTCTGGCCAAGTGAAAGGTTTACTTAGGGACCCTGACCATATTTTAACAGCCCTGGAAAGAGACTGCCTTGTGCCTAGTGTATATGAGGTAATGTTGTATTGAATTTTTAGAGCAAGCACTAATATGTTTCTTCTTGATGATGCTTATTTTTCCGGTGTGTGTGTTACACACTCACTGTGGGCGTTGTGGAAGATACATGGAAGAAGCAGAGGAAAGAGGAAATGGACACAGAGAAATATTGTTTCCATTAGGTCACGTTTCCTTTCCTTGTTTTCCCTGCGTCTTTTTTGGCTTCTCGCCCGTGGGCGCGAGTGTGCGGTGGATGCGCTTGGATTTACGCTTTCCCGCCCATCGCAGTCGTGCCAGGCTGCCGACTCATGCCTGAACTGCGACCGCTGCTATCCTGTCTTGTGGAAGGGGCCTCGACTTCCCGGGGTGTGGTTTCTGGGTATTTTTAGGGATCCTTCCCGCCCTTGGCTGTCTTATGCAAGCTGGAGGGACGAATCCATTTCTTCTCTTCACCCGGAACTCCCAGTGGAAAACCACCTTGTTAGATTAAATTAGGGGGCCCCACTGGTCCCACTGTCTCCCTTTGCCCTGTTGAAGTCCCTGTTGAGAGTAGGGGCCTTGTCTCTGCCGAGTGCTCAGCCCACAGAGCAGATGCTCAGACACCTCGTCTGAATGAACTCAGTGAGTGATTATTAATGACCCGCACTAAATTGAGTTTTGCAGGCAGACTGTGTATAGTTATTTATTTCCTGGGGCTGCCCTAACAAAGCACCATGGACTGGAGTCGGGGGGGAGCTTAAACAACAGGAATGTTCTGTCTCCTAGTCTGGAGGCCAGACGCCCCTGATCAAGGTGTGGGCTGTCTGTCTGAGTCCCTCTGAGGCTGTGGGGCAGAATTGGCTCCAGGCCGCCCTCCTGGCTTCTGGTGGCCTTGGGTACATGGATGGCTGTCTCCCCGCTGTGTCTTCACATCAATTGCCTCTGTGTCCACTTTCGTCTTTCTATAACGACACAGACACACTGTCTGGGGGCGTGCCTTCACTCTCCTTAACTCGATCATCTGCAAAGACTCTTCTCCAAAGGAAGGTCACATTTGCCGGTACTAGGGGTTAGGGCTCCGACATCTTCTGAGGGGGGTGACACCATTCAACCAATAACAACAAGTTTTTACCGGGTGCACTGTTTAAGGTTTGGGGGGCATGGCCCGGTTTAGAGCAGGACTGGGACTACATTTGCTGAAATGGGCGAGTAATGTGGGGTGCCTGATGTCCCTTGGCAATCCCTGAGCTCCCCAAATGGGCATGACTGCCTGGTATTTGTAAGGAGATAAAGTGGGGTGTCTGGGTGGCTCAGTCTGTTAAGCGTCTGCCTTTGGCTCAGGTCATGATCCCAGGGTCCTGGGACCGAGCCCCGCATCGGGCTCCCTGCAACGCGGGAAGCCTGCTTCTCCCTCTCCCTCTGCCTCTGCCTGACGCTCCCCCTGCTAGTGCTCTCTCTCTCTCTCTGTCAAATAAACAAATAAAATCTTGGGAAAAAAAAAGAATATTTTTTAAAAAAGGAGAAAAAGTATTCAGGGTTTCTGCTAAGACACGATGGGATGCTGCCTTTGTATACATGTCGTTTTTGCCTCTCCCCCGCAGCCAAGATTTCAGAGATCGAGGAGGAGCAGGAGGACCCGTACCTGAACGACCGCTGCAGAGGTGAGGCCCTGCTACCTCCCAATCCCACTGGGAGTTCGACCTCGGGTTTTGCTCAGGTTCACGTGCGAAGAGCCCTCTGGCTGCGAGTCAGCTCAAGTCTGTCTGCCCTCCCCACACTCCTGGGCTCCCACCTTCTCTTTCCCTTCGAGCTGGGGCCTGGTGGGCTGCTAGGGAGGGGGCCGTGTGGGAAGCAGGCATCAGAGGTGCCCCCCCCACACTCCAGCCACAGCACCCACCTAAACACAGGCTCTGCGAAGGGTGAACACCCGGGGAGGGAGGAGCGTTACTAGACTTTAGGTCCTGGAGCCCCAGAAGGTGCCCTGGACTGTATCCACTTGTCTGGCAAGGGAGACGTTTGCAAATTAAAAGTGAGTGGGGCCTGACAGGTTTGTTTTTCATGTGATAAAACGTTATTTCTCTTTCATGGAACATTCCCACATGTCTAGACTGGTAAGTCTGCTCCAAAGCTCCATTCGGAGACTTGCCCTGTGGCTGGAGCGTTGATGGGAGGCCAGTGTAATCACAAAATGACGTGGTCAGTGCACGGTGCCAGGCTGCACAGGGGTGGGGGTGGGGAGGCAGAGAGCCCAGAAAACTCCCTGGGGGGTGTGGGAGGGCCTTCCTGGGGAGGATGTAGCTGGTTTGCAAGGGGTGAGTGTAGGTTAGCCAGGAAAGTACCACTGGACAGAGATTTGGGCAGCAGGAGTGGAGACTTGGCGTGGGTGAGTCTGGTGGGCCCTGGCAGGTGGAGGAGTGGGGTGGGGATAGAGGAGGGGGCTGGGGAAGCAGGCAGAGGCCTACAGGCCGTAATGTGGGCCCTGGGCAGCAGTCGGAGCTTTGGTAGCATCTTCAGCCGGTAGAGGTTTGTCCCGATGAGAGTCGCTCTTTGAGCATCACTCAGCGGCCTGTAGGAAGTGTGGTTGGAGTGGGTGGGGTGGGGGGGCGGTACCAGGGACAGTCAGGGAGCCAGGTGAGCTGTGGGGGCCCGTGGGGCCTCCGCGGGGCCTGGCCTCCCTCACGGGACGGCCCCCTCCATGTCTGTGCTGGGCGGCAGCATCCCTGGCTTCTCTGCCCGGCCCCTCCTGGCGCCACTACGACCTGCAGGGATGGCCCAGCCTGCCGCCATTTTGTCGGACCAGGGCTGGGACCTGAGGCAGCCGCTCCAAGGTTGTCCAGGGCCAGATCCTGGGGTGGGGGTCTCGCGTGGGAAGGGAGGGGTGCTAGGCTGGAGAGGGTGGGCTCCAAACCGGGGAGCCTGCCTTCGTGTATTGTCCACCCTGAGGGCGCTTGCTCTGGCCCAGTCCAAAGAGAACCCTTTGGCAACCCAAAGGGCCTCTGGTGTGTGTTGGGCTCCTGGCTCACGTTCGCTCTGATCCGCTCTCGTTCCAGGCGGCGGGCCCTGCAAGCAACAGTGCCGAGACACGGGGGAGGAGGTGGTCTGCTCGTGCTTCGTGGGCTACCAGCTGCTGCCCGACAGCGTCTCCTGTGAAGGTAACCTTTGCCGTGCTCCGGCCACAGCAGGACGGCACGCAGCCGCCCTGGGGGCCTCGGCCTCGGCTTGGCACCAGGCAGGGCCCACCCTGCACACCGCGGGGCCCCCCTCGTAGGTGAGGAACAGCATTCCCTGGAGTCTGCAGCGCACGGCGCCCAGCCATGGCTCTCCTCCAGGAAGGCACAAATAACCGCGTTGGGGAAGAGGGTTGGCTTTGCGGTCTGACCGCGCTCTGAATCCGGGATCTGCTGAGTGGCCCCGGGCACGTCCCTGAGCCTCTCTCGGCCCCTCCTGTCTGAGGTGGGGGAGATGGAGCAAGGTGATCGCCTCTCGTAGGGGCCTTATGGATCACGTGGCTCGGGTTCAGGGCCTGACACTTGCTCCGTGGGTGCTCAAGGAGAGCAATAGATCTGAAACCGAGCAGGGGAAAGAAACCATTGCTTGTGATTTGGTGGTGGGTGCCCAGGACCCCGACTAGGCATGTGCGTGGGGGACTGGACAGACGGCTGGCAACCAATTGCACCACACCTTCCGGGATGTTCCTTTTGATAAAGCGCGGGGGTCCGTGGTTCCTGCTGGTTACTCCTGCTTTGCCTCCATCTCTCCTAGATATCAATGAATGCGTCATGGGCAACCACAACTGCCGGCTTGGAGAGTCCTGTGTCAATACAGTGGGCTCTTTCCGCTGCCAGAGAGACAGTAGCTGTGGGACTGGCTATGAGCTCACGGAGGACAATGACTGCAAAGGTATAACACGCTCCGAGTCTACACACCTCAGCTCCCCGGGACTAGATAGGATGTGCTGGTAAAGCAGCACCGGGCTCCCGGGGGTCTGGGCTCCCTGTGACTGCCCAGGGATGCTGGCCGGTTATGTCTTTGGTAAAGATTTGCCTTCTTGACCGTAACGTTGAGTTAATGACAGTGGTGAGTTTGCAGGCTCAGAGCAGGATCGTTTCAGAACAAGACCAGAGGTGAATTTCAGGTGCTCACGTGTGCTTTCTCCTCGCAACTCCCCCCCCCCAAAATATTTTCTGTACAACAGCTGCCTTCCATCTGACTCCAGGCTTCCTTGAAGTTCAAAGCATATTCTCTTCCGCTGCATAAAAACATGACATTTTTGGCTGCTGGCCTTTCCCCGCCAAGCCATAGATGTGATTTGGCAGATAAGGCTTTGATGAGGATCTATTAGAACATAGTTTTCTTCTGAGGGTTTCCAGCCCTCCAGAATGACAAAACCACTTGTGTGAAGATTTTGGTTGAGTTACGAGGGTAACTCAAAAGCCAGGCACACCCTCCTGACGTCTGACGGCCTTTGGGCAAGCTCACTTCACTCCACCCTCGCTGGGCGGTTTGGACCCTGAGAACCCAGGGGCCCAGCCAGCTGAGTATACACTTTTGAACACTTGACAGCCATGAACTTCAGGGGAAGGGCAGCCAACGTGTCTGATCATGACAATCACCATTGTTCATGTTTGGAAGATTATGACGATTTCAGAATGAATAACTTTATAGGGACAGTGTTTATTGCCACTAAGATCATTGCTTATTATCTAAACTAAACACGCACTTAGCCTAAAGTGAAGGGAAAAAAAAAATCCCACATACTGCCAGGAAAATGCCTGGGATATTTATTATATAACAGAAAGTTTGCCTCATAAGAGCCTTGGGGGGAAAAAAAGAGTTTTCAGTCTTTAGCAATGCGAGCACTATTTGGCTAGCTGAGGCTCCTTTTTATGTGACCTCTCTATTGGAATGTTTTGGGTTGTAGTCTGAGTAATGAGCATTAAAAAAAAATTTCTTGTGATTTTTAAATGTTGTATGATGCTTCTGGCAGGACTCTTGCTAACAATTTCCTTTTTTTATGACGTACCAGATATTGACGAGTGTGAGAGTGGTATTCATAACTGCCTCCCCGATTTTATCTGTCAGAATACTCTGGGATCCTTCCGCTGCAGACCCAAGCTACAGTGCAAGAGTGGCTTTATACAAGATGCTCTAGGCAACTGCATTGGTAAGACTCTGTCACCAGGGCTGGTAGGGTCCCCCAGGCGGGGCCGACGCCCTGGTGCTGGGCCACGTCTCTGGGACGTGAGGGGCCGCCGAGCAGAGGTCGGCAGGCACATCCTATAAAGGGACGGGGAGCAAACACTGAGGCCTCGTGGGCCGTCTGGTCTCTGTTGTGGCTACTTAGCTCTGCCATTGAGGCTGGAAGTCAGCCACAGATAACGCGAGTGAAGGAACGGGCGGGCGGTGTTGTGTCCCCATAAAACTTTATTTACAAAAACAGGTACAGGCTGGGGTTGGCCCTAGGGCTAGAGTTTAAGCAACCCCCGGGTTTAGACGAAACCCCCAGTTTGGCTTCATTTTTGGAGTCAGAGACACCTGGTTTAGAACTCAATGACTTAAGGTAATTGACTTCCTTCCTCTGACCCTCGATTTCTTCCTCTATAAAATGGGAAGAATCATAATATCTGCCTTAGAGGCTTGAGGCAAGGATCGAAGAAGAGGATTGTGAAGTGTCTGGTGTATTAAAGATTTGTTTTAAGAGATACTCTGTGTTAGTAGTCAGTTTCATGGAGAGAGGAGAGGAGCACGGGAGGTGCAAAGGGCCTGGGGCAGGGGAGTGGGGAGCTAGTGTTTACTGGGCAGGGAGTTTCAGTCGGGGAAAATGAAAAATTTGCGTGGTTGGATGGTGGTGATGGTTTCAAGACAGCACAAACGTAGTTGATGCCACCTGTCTGTAGACTTAAAAATAGGGAAAACGGCACATTCTCTGTCACATATATCTCACCACAAAGCCCCACAAAACTACTCTGTTGCTATCAAAGAAAGAGAATCCCGTGGGAATGTAGTAAACTAGTAAATGCAGGAGGCCTGGCGAGAGGCTCAGGTCGGGGAAGCAGCGTGCGGGAGGGGCAGGGAGCCGAGCAGACCTACTACCTGCTCTGTATGGCGGGGGGGGGGGGGGGTGACTCTCCTTTCTCCTGGGCTCACCCCGGCTAACCACCTGGCTCGGTCACTGTGTGCTGTTGGCCTTTGCGTCCAGATCCGCTGGCCTGGCCTTGGCCTCTGCTCAGCAGAAGCTTCTGGGTCCTGCCTTTGAGGATAGGAGACTTCTCTCCCAGTGAGAGTGCAGATGCCACCCGTTAGAGCCCACCCTCCCTGGGGGCTGCCCCATTACCCTCTTTGAAAGTTTGACACCTCCGAGAGTGAGGGATGGCGGGTGTCTGTCTTCGGTCTGGCTCACCCACTCTCAGAGAAATCTGTATTGATCTTTGGTCTGAAATGGTAGTTTGGACTGAAAGCTCTCCTCGCTTTTTTTTTTTTTTTTTTTTTTTTTTTAACCACCCTGGGATATTTAAAGACAAATAGAACAGTGACCCTCACGTTGGACGGGGGCCTCCTTGGAGCCCTGCCCCAGGCTTCTTCTTTAAAGCTCCCCTGTCATCCTGTGCGGGGAGTGTGGGGAGGCTTCGGAGCTGGGGGGCAGGGGAGGGGCTCAGCTTGGCTAGGCTTGGCCCCTCACCATCTTCCACCCAGTGCAGGGGACCATGGTGCTGACGGCCCTCCCAGGGCCAGCAGGGAGGAGGGGCCTGCCTGGACTTGCCCTGTGCTTGGAGGGGGCTCTGCCAAGGAGACTGGCATCTGTTCGGGATGGAAACCCTGACTCATGGCAAAACCAGCCCCGATTTCCACAAAGAAGGAACATTGGCAAGTCTCAGCGCGGCCCCCTCCTCCCCCACTACGGGGTGCAGACCATGCAAGGGCAAGGTGTGAGAGTAGCGGGAGGGGACAGTCCCCCTCAGTGTCTTACCCTAGATGCAGGGAGAGCCTGGGTGAGTCTAAGCCCCAAAGGAGCCCCACCCACCAGCTCCTGGTTATTTGGAGGGTTTGCAAACCAACCATGAGGTGCCCCTCATCTCAGCCCTGGGGCGGCCCCCTTTACATGTGCCCACACTCCTCGCAACCAGACTCAGGGTTCTTTCTTTAAAAAAAATTTTTTTTTAATTTCAGAAGTCATATATCTATATATATTTACAAAGATGCAAGCAAATCCCAAAGTGCCGAAAGGAAACGCTCCTCTCTTGCTCAGCAGTGTCTGAGTGCCCTTCTGGGCTCCTGCTGTCTGGAGACTCTTTGTTTCGGATGCAAATGGAGCCAGACGGAGCTGCAAAGTGCTGCCCCGCCCCGCCCCGCCCCCAGCCCCTTCACAGTGTATGTTGACATCATTTTACGTCAGTACCTTTATGTCATCTTTTTAAAAATGACCTCGTCATCCCAAATACTTCTCTACAAGGAGAAAGTGTATCAGGATCCAATGCTAGTTTCAAGGCCATCTGGGAGAGGGCGCTCCCCCCCCCCCCCGTGTGCATCCTGGTCTTCGGCTTGCACACCTCTGCCAACGGCACCCTCACCCCCTCCAGAACAGCGTGAGGTAGTGGGAAGCTCTGACCTCATGGGCAGCCAAATCCATCTTCCCGGGATTCCTGGAAGCATTCCTGGTGCCCCACAAGCCTGCCTGTTCCCCTCCGGCCACCACCGGCAGACAGCCCAGCAGCTGTAGAGCTCTACCCCGGGGTGAAGGGGCAGAGGGGGCTGCACAAGAATGGCCATGCTCTAAGAAAGCAGAGGCCTTTTTCCTTATTATAAGACATAGAATGTTCTAGAACCTTGAGGTTTGGTTGCTGAGGGCCTTGAGACGATCCCATCTTTTTGTTGTTTTTTCTCCCCCCCTGTTTCTTCTGATTCCCAATTGGTGTGCATCGTCTTCCCTTCTGCTTTAGTGAGGACAACAGAGAGGACCAGAGCGGGCTTCCCACACGCTGGCCCCCTCTGTCTTGGGACGCTCACAGGTCCGGGGACAGAGTTTGGGAACTGTAGATCTGATTGGCGAGCACAAGGCTTGGAGGGAGGCCATATTGTTGCTAAACACTGCATTTATTCTTGATGCAGAATTTTTTTCTGTAAAGGGCTAAATAGTAAGTACCCAGCTTCATGAGCTCTAGGGTCTCTGTTGCTGTAGACAATAAGTAAAGAATGGGCATGGCTGCGTTCCAATAAAGCTTTATGACAAAAATAGGCAGTGGGCTAGATTTGGTTGGTAGGCTGGCAGGCTATGGTTTGCCCACCCCTGATTTGAGGGCTGGGAGGCAGGACTCCCTGGTTCTAGAGCTGAGTGGGCCCTAGGCCCATCTGTGTGCTTGGGGAGTTCCGTTGTTTATAAAATGCAGAGAATAATCCTGGCCCTGCCTAACTTGCAGGATAGCTGTGGCGGGTGAGGGCAGTATGGACCTAAACGCTTTTGTCAACTGTTAAGTACTGCACCCATGCTTAAGGCCAACTCAAGGGGGAAGATGCGGCTGGTCACTGACTGTCCGAGGAGGGTGGGGTGTGGCCGGGAGGGGAGAAGTACAGCCAGTCCCTCTTTTTGACTTCAGCTCAGGGGTCTTCTACCATCACTCCCTTCTCTTTGTCCCCTAGATGCTTTGTAAGTATCTGAAAAGGGGAATTCTTAAAAACCTCGGTCCCCTTAGAAGTCTCCCCTAGTAAGAAGTTCAGCCTGTGCGGTTTGTTGTTGTTGTTGTTGTTGTTGTTTGAGAGAGAGAATGTGAGTCGGGTGCAGGGCAGAGGGAGAGAGAGAGAGAGAGAATCTTAAGCAGACTCCACGCTCAGCATGGAGCCTGACACGGGGCTCAATCTCGTGATCCTGAGATTATGACCTAAGCAGAAATCAAGAGTCCGACACTTAACCAACTGAGCCACCCCCGTGCCCCAGCCTCTGTGATTTTGCACCGAATTGTAGCTAGAGGAGCAAAAGTTTATCCTTGTGCATTTACTGGTTCGCACTCACTAGGCATGTGAAAATCAGAAGGGACACGGCCACGTGACCGTGGGCAGGCCTGAGAGCCAGGCAGGCAGCCTCAGATGCCGTGCAGGGAAAGACGGACGTGTTGAAGGTTCAGGGGCAGGGAGATGGGCCAGGCAGGTGGTGTTTAAGGTGGCATGTGCTGGCAAGATCTGGGAGCCGCTTGGGAGGCCGCTGTGTGGTCCAGGGTGAGGGGGCACCATGTGGGGTTTTGTAGTGAGGGGGGGAAGTAGGGGTTTTCTGGAGACCGGGTTGTTGGGTTTTTGCAGGCCCTCTGTGTTTAACCACATTGTCTCTGTCTTCCCTGCTGCAGATATCAATGAGTGTTTAAGTATCAGTGCCCCGTGCCCTGTTGGGCAGACATGCATCAACACGGAGGGCTCCTACACATGCCAGAAGAACGTGCCCAACTGTGGCCGTGGCTACCATCTCAACGAGGAGGGAACCCGCTGTGTTGGTTGGTATTAAAAAATAAAACCAACTTTTCTGTCTGCTCCCAGCACACCCCTCCCTTCTCTGAAAGGGGAGAGGAGATCCCCAAAGTGAAGCCATTTCCACCTGTCCATCCATCTCATTGCTCATCTCCAAGCATAGACCTTTGCCTTCGATTGCTTGGACCGTTGCAGTAGGATGCCAGCCTACCACTGCGCCCAGCTTTGTCCCTTTCAGTCGGTCTGGGGTGTCCTGAGCTGAAAGCTCCCTTGTGCCTCCCTGCTCACAATCCCCACTGGTGGGACACAGAGTTCAGGCAGCGACCCTGCTTACAATTCAGTCCTCCTGAGGTTGACCCAACTTTGAAAACCTTATAATTCAGATGAAATAGGTCTTGCTGCTCCCTAAACAAGCCCTACCCTTTCCTCTCTGTGTGGTTTTCTGCTTTTACATCATTCCCTCTGCCCACCTGCTGCTACATTCCTTTGGATCCAGGTCCTTGTTAGCAGGAAGGAGTCTTTCTCCCTGCGACTCCCAGAGCACTTCCCTAGCGTCTCCTCTGGGTCACTGGGCACTTCCTGCCTTCCCTAGGGCCGTTGCTGGCCAGCCGGAGCAGGAGGCCCCTGAGGGCAGGGGCTGTACCTGGGTCCCCTGTCTCCCCAGCATGGGGCGCAGCACGTAGCAGGCACTCTGTGACATCGTGTTGAAGGACAAATAATGTTGCTTTGTTAACATACGTTTTAGTTTGCTGCTTTCTTGTCTTCCTCTCTTGATATCTTAGGGGAAAAAAACCCTCACACTAAACGTTTTTCAATGCGTCATTCTCTTTTACAAGATGTGGACGAGTGTGCAGCACCCTCTGAGCCCTGTGGGCCGGGGCACCTGTGTGTGAACTCCCCTGGAAGTTTCCGTTGCGAGTGCAAGGCTGGATACTATTTTGACGGCATCAGCAGGACGTGTGTGGGTACGTGGGTGTCCCCACAGGCCTCGGTGGTCCCCTGAGAAAGTCCCAGTACAGCAGCCCCAGAGAGCAGACCCTGAGTCGGGTGACCCCCATTCTGGTTCCACCTGCCACTGCGCTCCCGGGTGTGAGCCAGGCCCCCTGCCTGTACAGCAGTTGCTCTGCTTGACCCAAGGCCGGCAAGGGTTTGGGAGACTGCGGCCCACTCCACAAATGTCCAGAAGCACGAGTGATTTCCCAAAGTCCGTGCTCACCCGCAGGGCTTCAGGGCTGCGTGCACGGATCACGGCAGAAGAACCCGTGGTGGCATGGCCGCCTCTCTGCCAGGAACGGGAACAGACCCCCCCACTGACCGCCCCCTGCCACCCCCAAACCAGGCTGCTCAGGGGGAGGCTGACAGCTGCCCCGTTCAGCCCCAGAGCCCCGTGTCAGACCCCAGCGGACCCTCCTTCAGGACTCCAGGGTGGAGAACTGGCGGGTGGGCACGTCCCCAGGAGGGCGGCTGTCAGGGAAGGAGCCTGAGACTTGCCCAGCGGACAGGCAGAGGCCGGGTGGGGTCCCAGCACCCCTGCTGACTTGCTGTGGCTTTGGGACAAGTCGCTTTGCCTCTCTCATCCGAGAGATGGGGCTGCAGGCGGTGGGGGACAGAGGTGGCGAGCAGAGGCGGTGTGAGGCATTGCCTGCTGGGGGACGGACGCTGCCCTGAGCCGGCCCCGTCCGCTCTGTTGCAGACATCAACGAGTGTCGCCGCTACCCTGGGCGTCTATGCGGCCACAAGTGCGAGAACACGCCCGGCTCCTACTTCTGCAGCTGCACTGTGGGCTTCCGGCTGTCTGCCGACGGCCGGTCGTGCGAAGGTGAGGCGGTGCGGGCAGGACGGGGCGCTCCGGGACCCCCTCCTCCTGGGGAGAGCCACTGCTCCACCTGCAGGCCCCTGGGGACGGACTCGAGTTTGTTTCCCCAGCACGTATTAGGTGACACGCTGGTCGGGGAATCGCCTGTAAAAGGTGGCTTGTCAGAGATGACCGCTCACCCAGTCCCTCCCGGGCCCTGGAGCACCTGGTGGCATCTGTCCAGGGCCACGCACGTGGGGATTAATGAGCTAAAGAAGCTGTGTAGGACATGGCTAAGAGTGTGGGATTTGGAGGCGTCCGACCCACCCTGTGTTCACGTGACCGTGGGGAGTGGCTGACGTCACCTGCCTCCGTGTCGTAACAGGAGAAATGGGGTTGATAGGTCAGATTTTCTTTCTTTCTTTTTTTTTTTTTTTTAAGATTTTTATTTATTTATTGAGAGAGAGAGAATGGTAGAAAGAGAACATGAGAGGGAGGAAGGTCAAAGGGAGAAGCAGACTCCCCGCCGAGCAGGGAGCCCGATGCAGGACTCGGTCCCGGGACTCCAGGATCATGACCTGAGCCGAAGGCAGTCGCTTAACCAGCTGAGCCACCCAGGCGCCCGATAGGTCAGATTTTCAAGTACATTGGAAAGACAGGTTTTACTCAGACTTTTGCAGCAGCGGAGAGAGACAGATGTCAGTGTAAATCCATCTCAGCTCTGCAGAAACAAAAGGCTAGAGGCTTTTGAGATGCTGGGGCGTGCTAAGGAGAGGCACCACAGCATTTGTGGTGGGATGGACCGAGGCCGCTGCACCTGCTAATTGGTTCCTCCCCTCCCGCAGAGACTGGGAGAGGGGTGCCTCCCCTTTTGATGAGCACATCTCAAAGGTGTGGTTCCTGCATCCTGGAGAAAGACTCTTGGGTAGCAGAGGATACATCTCAAAGGGACAAGAGAGAGGGTTTACATTTATAAGTTTTCTAAAGTAAATGCTTCTAAGAAGAAGGAGGCCAGGGCATGTCATCAGGTGTTGGCTGGAATACTGAGTACCTTCTTCGGGCAGCACTGAGCTTTCTCAGGCAGGCATTTTAAGGGTCTGAGGCCATCACCCTGAGTACCCCGTCTTGGGCCAGGAGGAGCCATGCTAAAGTGTGGTCAGGTCTCTCCGTCCGCCAGGTGGGGGTTGGGCGGACTTGTTCGTGCTGTCTTTCGGTTAGCACATAGCACCAACCTCTTCTGGGGACGGACCGCGATGGCGTGAAGTGCATTCAGCACAGGGCTTGGCACACAGTAGGTGCTCAACAGGTATCACGTCTTCTGTGGGGATTAGGTTCTAAGGTCAGCAAAGGAAAGAGCTTTGACAGCCCTCAGTGATGCCCTCCCATTGCCCAGCACAGCCTCTGGACCCTCAGCCGAACGATCACAGAAGTCAGATATGCCCAGATGCACCCAGTATGCACAGTTCTCAAACTGGAGGCTGGGCAGTGGGACAGAATCCTGGGTCCTAGGGTCCTCCCAAGGGTTAGGATCTGCCCCCAAGAACCAGACCCAATGCATGTATATGGGCAAGGAAAGCATTCACACATGGGGGGGGGGGGGGGCTGTCCCCTGAGCTTGGGTTCAAATCCTGTTATGGTCTTGAAGAAGTAAATCAGCATTTCTGGGCCCCAGTGTCCTCACCTGCAAAAGTGTGGGGTAGCAGGACCCACCTTATCAGGAGCCATGAGGGTGAAGCACGTGAAGAGCTCATCCCAGTGTCCTGCATGCAATGAAGTGCCATCTATGGAGACCGCCGGTGTTCTTGCTATTATCATTCATGGCTTATGCTGTTCCTCATCACTGCTAAGTGACCAGAAAGGAGATATTCACGTCTACATTAGCAGCAACCCTGGGGACAGAAAACCAGGGCCTGGCCAGCTTTGCCATGTCGTTCCACTAAGCTTTTATGAAAGCCCCCTGACAAGGTGTGTGGTGGGAACATGGTTCCTGCCTTCAAGGAGTGTCTCCAGGATGTGACGGGAGCAGAGGTGAGCAGGTGGCGGCCAGGCTGGGCAGGGGGCTACTGCAGGACGAACCACGGGGTGAGAGACGAATGGATATTCTCAGCTGCTTGCCCCTCCTGCCCTGCTAGGAGTTAGCAGTAAATAAATGTGAGAAGAGGCTTCTAGGCCAGAGGTTGGCAAAGTTGTTTTTTTTTTTTCCCTAAAAGCCATGTAGTAAATATTTTAGGCTCTGCCAGTTATAATCTGTGTTGTAGCTACTCACCTCTGCCGCTGTGTTGCAAAAGCAGCCACAGATCGGGGTAAATGAGTGAGAGAGCATAAAACTTTCTTTGCAAAACCAGGAGGTGGGCCGGATGTGTGCTGATCCCTGCTCTCAGTGAAGGGAACCGAGAAGCGGGATCCCAGGGTTGCCGAGTGGGCCGGTGAGCGCCGAGCATTGGCGTGTTAGGAATATTGGCATCTCGGCTGTTCACCCAGGCCTCCCTGTCTGCAGAGGGCATCATCTTGGAGGTGAAACGGGGAGGGCCGTGATCACACCTCCATTTGAGGACTAGAACTGACCTGGCGGCAGTCTGATGGGGACCCCACTGGGAGGAGCTGAGACCGGAGGCTTTACTGTCGTCCTGATGAGAGGTTCCCGATCCCTCGGCCATGGGGGATGGAGTGGCAGCCGCTGTCCCTCGGGATGACCCCCGGCGGGTCCCCAGCCCCCACCGCCGTGGGACCTCTGGCCCTTCCTCTGTGTTAACTTGAGGGAGGTGCTCTGTCTACAGCCCTGCCAGGGAGCCCGGGCAGGCGGCTGGCTCCGAGCATTGACCTCCGGGGACCCTGTCTCTTTCAGACGTGAACGAGTGCAGCAGCAGCCCTTGCAGCCAGGAGTGCGCCAACGTGTACGGCTCCTACCAGTGTTACTGCCGGCGAGGCTACCAGCTCAGCGACGTGGATGGGGTCACCTGCGAAGGTGGGGGCGCCCCGCTCGGGCTGAGGGGAGAGCACCTCCACCCCCTTTCCGCTTAAGGCCCTTTCAGGCTGGCGGGTGGTGTGGGGTTTTTTTTTTTTTCCACTCCAACTGAGATTTATTTGGATACAAAGAAGTCTTTGCGAGTGAGGTTTGGAAAGTAGCAAACACGTGACCGCGAGGGTCACGTGTGCCGGGACTTTGAACCGCGCACGTGGCTGGGCTTGGTGGTGGCGACCCAGGGGCGAGGTGGGGGCCCAGGGGCTGCCCACAGGCCTGACCCGAAGCTCTGCCTCTCCTTGGCCGAGGCTGTGCATCCCCTGCTGCCTGAGGGCTGAGCCCAGACCCACCAGGCTGTCGGACGATTAAACCGGTTGTCGACTCGTGCTTGGTACGGTGCCTGGGGCACCGCGGGTGCTCCGAGGACAGCTGCTGTTAGGATTCCTACTTCTTTCCCGGCAGGCGTGTTTTTTATTAGCACATTTGTTCTCATTAGCATCAGGATGTACCTGGGGCCTGCAGGTGGCCTGTATAATGTGCTAGTCCCCTCCCTGAGCCCCCAGTCCGCCTCCTCCCCCACGTGTGCATGCTCCACACCACGAACTCGCTGTGACCCTAGGCGAGGCCCTTCCCCTCTCTGGGCCTCAGTTTCCCCTTCTGGCATAATAGTTTCTGAGGCCGCCCCGGCACCTGGAGGCTTCCTGTGTCCAGATTGCCCCATCCTGGCCCACTGTTGGGAATGTAGCCCGGCCGGGGTCCACACGGGATGCTGAGGAGGGGGCTTTGCCGTCACAGACATTGACGAGTGTGCCCTGCCCACTGGCGGCCACATCTGCTCCTATCGCTGCATCAACATCCCTGGAAGCTTCCAATGCAGCTGCCCGTCGTCTGGCTACAGGCTGGCCCCCAATGGCCGCAACTGCCAAGGTGAGCATTGTGGAACCCCCGGGGGTCGCTTAGGCTGTGCTCGGGGCTCTGCGGTGCTGGGGAGCTGAGGCCAGGCAGCCCCCAGCTGTGGGGATGCGCTCCCCTGACCCAGGGGCCACACCATAGATGGGGTGCATCTGGGAGGGCGAGGGGAGGCCTCTGCACACACACCCTGGTCTCCCGCACGCGGCACCCCTGTCTTCAGGGGGTTCTGACCCTCTTGCTGGGCCCTCGACAGCCCCAAGGGGACCAGAACAGGGGATGACAGCCTTTAGGAAGATGCTAGCCAGGGAGGAAATGGGAGCTCAGTGCCCAGAAGGCCCCATTCCACAGCACAGGACCGCTCGTTCCGTCTTGCATTCTCCCATTCGACGAACCCTTGATGCGAGCCTGCCAAGGGTTAAGGGCAGAACAGTGAGCAGATGGTGGAGGCCTCTGTCCCCAGGTGCTGATGATGACTGCCCGGTCGAGGGGATGGGTGTGTTCTGGTGTGTGACAGCTTACGTAGTTATGAGCATAGTCCCTGTAGTTATGAGCACTATGGATGCGAGGGTCCTGCTGGGGCCGGGGGTCGGCTCCAGCCTGGGCTAAATGAGGGGGCCAGCGACACCCATCTGTATTCAGCTCCCATGTCTAAGAACACTCTAGGGGTCATCGTGAGCTCTGGAACTGAGCCATTTGGCAACTGAGAGGGGCTGCTGAGTAGATATTTGTGAATGAAGGACCCTGGAATGGATCCAGGGACGGCCCCAGAAGCTGGATCACAGAGGTCGGGTCTCTCGGCCCCTTCCTCATGAGTGCCCCCCACAGGACTGTCGACCCAGAGGCTCCAAGAGGCCCCGGGTTCTGCACTTGTCAGTTCTGGTCGGGAAGAAGGTGGCTTTGATCAAAGGCAGGCAGGAGCTGTGGCCTTTCCTGGGAGGCACCCACTCAGCTTGCCTGTAGCTCTGGATGGAAGTCACTTTGTTTTCTCCTTTCTGGCGGAAGAGATGACTACCGCAGCCTGGGTGCTCTGCCAGGACCAGCAGAAACACATTCCTGAACCTCGGTCTTTGAGATTCAGAGTGTTGTTTTTGCCCCAAGATCAGGCATCTGGCCCCTCTTCACAGATGCCCCCCAGGCTTGGTGGCGTCCCCCGGACCCCACCATGGGGCTGCTCCAGAGAGCTGTGGGAAGGGGGACAGTTCCCCGCGTCCAGGGTCCTCTCAGGACCATGCCCCCAGCATCGCCAACCCCGGGCCCTGGGCGCAACCTAGAATTCCTGTAAGCCTGGGTGTCCTCCCCTACACCATATGGGGCCAGTAGCTTCTGCCATGTCCCTGCCGGGATGTCACAAGCCCCACACGAGGTAAGGTGTGAGATAAGGGTGCACCGACCCTGGCACCAGCCCGTGTGGGTTTAAAGCTCGACTCGGCCGCCTGCGAAACGTGTGACCTTAGGCGAGTCACGGAACCTCTGGGAGCTCCTCCCTAAGATGAGGATAATAACGGTATTGTGCACGGAAGCGTTAGAAGGGACAGAACTCCCCAAAGCACTTCCAGAGCTGTTATTGTCACCGTCATCCCAGGAACTATGAACAACAAGTAGAAACTCTATAGATACTGATATCCTGTAAGTAAAGGAGCTGTGCAGTGGGAGGCCTGGTCTCCCCGGCTGGGGATGGCCACGGCACAGCACGGGCGGCCTCCGCCTTCACCGGGCTGCCTCGGGGTCTCTCACAGACATCGATGAGTGTGTGACTGGCATCCACAACTGCTCCATCAACGAGACCTGCTTCAACATCCAGGGGGGATTCCGCTGCCTGGCCTTCGAGTGCCCCAAGAACTACCGGCGCTCCGCAGACACGTAAGTCCCTCGGGCCCCCCCGCGGTCTGTCTGCGTCGGCCTTCCTGCGGGGTGTGGCTCCCGGCCTGGACGGCCAGTTAACCGACTGTGCCCTCCCCCCCGGGGGTGGGGGGATGACCCGGGAAACTGGAGGACCCCTGGGTCTTTAGTCCCCAAACACCAGGAGAGCACAGAGAACCAAGGTAGTGACTTCAAGACGGCCGGGCCTGCCCCCCGCCCCCGGGGTAGCCTGTGCATGGAGCCAGGCGGAGATCCCAGGCCTCTGGTTTCCGAGGGCAAGACCAGGGTGCAGGGCAGCTTGCTGGGCCTCAGCCTTCTCATCGGCACAATGCAGGTGTCAGGATGTGCTCTGACCCAGGTGAAGGTAGTGCTGGTTCCGGGTGAGCCGACGTGATTGCTGGGGCGTCGTCAGTCAGCAACCCCCCTTCTTAAAAGCCAGATTCCCTTCAGCCCGCTGACAGTGTGGGGCCAGCACAAAAGGTCTGTGTCCCAGACTTGAAGCTATGTGTTCCCATGTCATTGGAAGCTCCTTCCCTCCCAGGCCACCGGGATGTGTGCTGGAGCGTCCAGAAACCCCCTTCCTCAGGGCGTCGTGAGAACCCTCTGATCTCCCTACCGGCCACCCTGCCCCTGACTTTATTCAGCGAGTTTCATCTGGTGCCCCTGTCAGTAGTCTCAGGAAGAGCTCTCCAGTGGGGCCAGATTTGGGAGCACAGATGCATGACCCCTCCCTCCAATCCCTGGAAATGCTCAAAGCCAGCGCACAGCTAGGCTGACTGTGACTCGGCCTTTTGACCTTGAGGGTCAGGGCCTTCTTGGCTGGTGCAGCCGGCCTTGGTGTCCACTTGCTCAGCCTCAGGGGTGGCTGCCCTGGCTTGTGGTTCTGGCCCGGCCTCCGGCTTGCCGAATGCCAGAACAGGAGATGCTCAGATAACCCGTCTCCCCCGCAGCCCTTTGGGCTCTTCCCAGTGTCTGCGTTCATCCTCTGGCCCCCCCCCCCACCTCCATGGGCCCGCTCTGTTCCCCCAGCGCGGGTATGTTTGTCTGCCTGGAAACCCAACAGCTCATGTCCTCCAGGCACCCCCGCGAGGGAAGATCCCCTCCAGAGCTGGGTTTTTGAGTGTGTGGCATTCCAGAGACCTCGTGGGTTACCCGGAGGTCTAGAGGGCAGTGAGGACGTTCCTCTGACTGCCAAGAAAGTTCCGTGTCCTCAGTTTGAGGCTGGGATGCCATTGTGTGTTTTAAGTTCCTGTTCTCCCAGGCCTTTGTCCGTGTCTGGGTTTGAGGACTCTGGAAGACTGGCTGGCACTGGGCATGGACTTCTCACACCCAGCCATGAAATCCAGAGGAGGCGGCTGCCCTGTGGGGGTCTGCACGCCTCCCAAGCCTGCGGGGCTGACAGGTGGGCGCTGTGTGTTGAGGTCGTGGCTGAAATCAGCAGACCCGGCTCCTTGCCACATGTTGGCGCATGCTGGAGAAAGTCTTTTACTTGTTTGGGGGCCATGGGCAGACCGTGTGCATGTACCTGGGCAGACAGGAGGCCCGCAAAGGCCCCCATCCCCTGCACCGTGCCTGCTAGGGGCACATGCCAGAACAGCAGTGACCGCAGAGTATAGCAGGGTTCCCACCTGGCTGGGGTGGGGGCCGGAGGGCTGCCTGGAGTAGGCGATGCTAGAGAGAATGGGCAGGTAAGAGCTGAGTTAGGCAGAGACGGAAGGGGTGGTGGGCAGGACTAGAGTAGAGCTGTGGCCAGGGGAGCGAAGGGGTTCCAGCCGTGAAATGGGGGATTCAGCAGGGAACCCGGACCCACATTCCATTCACTGGGGGGTTGATGCTCCAAGGCTCAGTCGGTCCCCATCCCATGGATTGATTCATCAGCCGGTACCTGGGGCAGATAAAGAGGGGGCTCGTCATTTTCTGTGAGTAAGGACAGGAAGTGGGCCCCCACCCACAGTACAGCCAAGGGGGGCGGGTGGTGAGGCTCCAAGCCCCCCCTCCCGGGAAGATGGCCAAGATTAACGCACAGGCCTGCTCCCCAGCGCCACCTAGCGGTGGGAGCAGGGGTGGGGAGGAGAAAGGAGCTGGGAGCCAGAGTCTGGACCTGACACCCGGTGCACCAGCCCCTGGTGACTGTTCTCAAGCCTCCTGGGGATGCTGTGGCATTCTGGAAGGATGCCAGCTTGAAGTCAGGTTCACTTGGGTTTGCCTCCCGACTCAGTCCATTCCAGGTCCTTGAGCTTCTTGGAGCCTCCATACTCCAGCTGTGAAGGGGGTGGTGATGTCACCCTGCCAGCTTCCCGTGGGGTGAGCAGTGATTGTGGGGCAGAGCCCCCTCATGAAGCTCACACTGGGCTCACACTGGTGGGGTGTGGGTAGGCACCCCAAAGGCGTATTTCACTGCCAGGGTAATATGGATGAAGGGAAGGTGGGTGGTGCCCCTGGTGTCCAGGTCCGGGCATGGCCCGAGGGACTGCGTGGAAAGGGGAAGAACCAGGGCCGGGGTTCTAGGCTTCCAGACTCGTTCTCCTGTTCCTTGGGGCTGTGGCCTCAGGTCAGTGTCTTGGCCACCCAGGGGCCCTTTCTGCATCTGCAACGCCTGCTTGGCAAGGCCTTGAGGATTAGCGCGGATTAGCGGTAACGAGCTCCAGGCGTCCAGCCCAGTGCCAGCACATAGTCCATGCTTAGAAAAAGTCGCGGTGAGGAGAATGATCACTAGACATCCCCGTTTCCCTTCCTCGGGGCACGGCAAATCCAACACGGAGGTTCCTCGGGGTAACTTTGCCGTTCTTGCTCTGTTGCTTGCTGACCGCGTGACTGATGGCGTTGCCCGGCCCTCAGATAGGAGACGAGATGGGGGTTCTGAAGGGCTGGGTGGTTGGGGCCGTCACTGCCGCACACAGGAATCCATCCGGTTACAATTTTCTCCTTTGCTGATCCCTGTGGAGCATCACGGGCCGGCCAGGAGCCCAGAGTAGGAAGTGGGGGCTGGGGCTGGAATCCCAAGTTGAGTGGCCACAGGAGGGGTCTTATCCTGGGTGTCCCTTCCTAGTGAGGGGAGTTACTCTGGGACCATGGAAGCTCATAGCTTAGTGGGAGCCTAGTGACAAGCCTCTGACAAGTTGAAAGCGACACGGGCAGGACGCAGGCCAGAGCTCTGAGCAAGGAGGGGCTGATGTTCTCAGCCCTGCTAACGGCTCAGGCTGGAGTTGACCGTTTCTATGGCTTCTTTTCCTCCTCCTCAAGAATCCCCTTAAAGAATTTATAATCTGACCTTCAGAAAGCAATTTGTAAAATTTAAAAGTACTGTATTAGGAAAGACCCAGTAGCCAGCATTTCTGAGGTCAACATTTAGGGTGCCTTGAGAGAGAAGATTTAAGATGTGCATACTGCCTCTCTCTTTCTCTCTCTGGGCCCCAGCCTTCTCTTTTTCTTCACACAGGCTGCTTCTGGGCAGTGTCCCTGGCAGCCAAGGGGCGGTAACTAGAGCATGACCCAGCAGGCTGGGCCACAAACCACAGGCTTGGGCCTCGTGGATCGTCCAGGCTGTTAAGATCCCGACCGTACGATTCCTTCCGACCCACAGGAGGAATGTCAAAGGGTTCCAGAGCCTGGGATGGGGCGGAAGACCTCTTTGTCCCCTCAGCAGGGCCGACCCCTGAGGCCGGCGGGCTTGGCAGCCTCGGTTGGCGGGGCTCTGGGCCTGAGGGTGTACCGCGGGTGGACAAGAGGGGGTGGAGTCCTGCCTCCGCCTGGTCCTGGGGCTTCTCCGCAGAATGACAAGGGAATGGAAGTCGGGGAAGTGCTAGCGGGGAAGGCTATGAGCGTGAGACAGCCCCGGGGGGTGGCCCGAGTGGCCATGCCTTCCAGAAGAAGGGATTGGGCCTGGAGGACCTTCTTTCTCTGGTGTGTGCCGACTTCCAATAACTGCATTTTCACAGAAAATAGGGTGTTCTGATCCAACTTGTTGAACTGGAAAATTAGGGCACGTTGTTCTCTTGTACGCAGTGAGATGGAAACCAAGACGTGCGGTCCCAGGGACCTGACCGTTCTCTGCGTGACGGCGGCCCCTCCTCAGTCCAGACATACTTGCTAACAAAGACTTTTGCGTCAGGCAGTTTGCCAGCTGCAGTAGTTACGATTTCTGTGATGTTTCAGTAAGTGTAGGATAGAGCAGGTTAGGATCACTGAGGTTGGAACTGACCCGGAAAATCAGGGCCATATTTATTTGGGTCCATTTACGAAGCACGTAGTAGGTGTCACATGCTGGGTACTGGAGATAAAACCAAAGAGCCATCGCCCGGCTCTTGGGAGGTGAGAGCTCAGAGATGCCTAGTGTGAGAAAGAGCTTGGGGTGCTCTGGCTTTCGGGTCAGGGGAGCGGTGTGGAGCCCACTGAAGAGGGAGTGTCCAGTTCCCTGGTGTGCGATGCCTAAGGGAGCTATACCGGAGCCTCACGCACACTTCACGTGCCCTCCCCCCATACACGCTCGGCTAATGCTTCCATCGGACAAATCAAAACCCTGTCCTTGGACAGGGTACAGGCCACACAGAAGTGGGCAAGCTTGAGTCACATGAAGGAGACTCTAGTGCCACCTGCTGGACAGACCCACCAGGCCCTTCCTGAAGCAGCGGGTACGTGTGTGTATGTGCGCGCACGAAGGCTTTCAAGTGAGGCCAACTTTGTTTTTGCCACTTACTACACTATGGAGTCATGGACGTGTCCTCACTGAGCTTTGATCTTCCCGCTGGTAGGACAGGAGAACAAAGTAGGACAAGGAAGTGAGCTAATGGAAGGAGAAGCCCTCATGAACCCAAAATGATGCTAGGCACCATCCCTCAGTGACTCCCAAATCACCAGGAACACTCCCGTTTGGCTTGGACCTAGGTGTCTCGGAGTAGGCAGCCCCTCAGCAGCACCCTTCTTCTGCTTACCTTCTTTCCTATCTCTCCGCTCTGTGTCGGGGGCCCCTCCCATGCGTGACTCCTCACCTACCAGGGAGG